TATCACATATATTTTTGGGTGTACCAACCTCATTCCCAAAGTCTTAAACTGTATTAAATTTTTGCCTTTTGGAAATGACAAGCACCAATATATCATTGTCATAGCATTAAATAAGAAGTGTGCATGTTCTCCCTGTATCTGCATGGGCTTTATTAGCTCCCATGTTTCCTCTCACAGTCCAAAAACATTTTACCCCGTGCCCTACAAGATGTACATTAATGCAGAGACTTCCTTGTTAGTAATTCAATATAATATTCTAATAGGTATAGCGCTGAGCAACGGTTACCTGTGGAAGAAGCAGAGGAAGTTTGCCAACACTCACCTGCGTTACTTTGGAGAAGGCCAAAAGTCACTGGAGAAGTACATTGAAGTGGAGTGCAGCTTCCTTTGTGAAGCTTTCAAGGAGGAGCAAGGCAAGTAGGCTGCAGGAATTCACATGACTGAAGTGATTGCTCTGCACTGAAATCATTTTTGTAGCAGGATTTCTCTTGACTTGAGTACAATTTGACATCTTCACAGGTAGACCATTCAACCCCCACTACATCATGACAAATGCAATAGGTAACATCATCTTCTCTGTGGTCTTCGGACATCGCTTTGAATACAGTGACCCCAGCTTTCGCAGAATTCTGGAGCTGGACAATGATGCCGTTGTGCTTGCTGGTTCAGCGCAGACGCAGGTACTCCTTGTTTAAACTACCATGTGATGATCGTTTGCGATGTTGTTGTTGGTCTTTTACTAAGAGTTTATCATCCTCACCAGCTGTATGATGCCTTTCCTGGCTTGATGAAGTACTTGCCAGGGCCTCACCAGACTGTCCATGCCAACTACAGGGAGATTGTGGCTTTCTTGAACAGAGAAATTGAAAAGCACCAGGAAGAGTGGAACCCAGATGACCCTCGTGATTTCACTGATGCATACCTGTCAGAGATGGAGAAGGTAACACAAAAACATTTCTAGTGAAGCATATGAATACTATTCTGTTAACTTTTTAAAAAATTAATTGAAACAATAAACATGTGTTCATGTAAACCATAACAATTGTCTATACTGGCCACTAATAGGTCACATTTGTAATGTGCCAGCACTGTGTTTGGATTCAAAAGAAGTCCTTCAAAAGTTTCTGAGACTTCAGCCACCCAAATGAATCAGTTAATCAAAAAACACAATCCTTATGATCATGAGATTAACTGGTAATAAAGTAAATTGCCTAAATCAACCGAGTACTGTGGATAATGTCTGTATTTTTCTGTTACATTAGAAAAAAGAGGATCCTCGTGCTGGCTTTAATATTGAAACGCTTCTGGTTTGTACCCTTGATCTGATTGAGGCTGGGACAGAGTCAGCTTCCACCACTCTACGCTGGGCTCTAGTATTTATGATGAACTACCCAGAAATACAAGGTTGGTAACTTATTACTCCATCCCCCTTTCTCACATCCCAGATTGCATATCTTCAATCCCTGCTTTCAACTCTCCTTTATCATCGCATGAGGAAAAAGTGAAGGTCAAAAAGCTTGAGAATCTTAAACAGCTGAAAGCAAATAAAGGATGGTTTCCTCCTCCAAGAAGAATTTGCAGGTTAAATTCTAGGTGGCCCACTTTCATAATGGATACGCCTTTGCATCCTTGACTGTAACTCCAAAGGAGAGAACTCCCTTTTTTCTGTCTGTCAAATGCATTTTAAGAATTGTAAACCATTGGTGTATTGTCATGAGATTTTAGGTCACAAGCAGGATGAGGGGGGACAGATGGGCAGGCACAAACGGGAAAATGAGAACAGCCTGAAGAATATAGATTTTAGATCAGTCTGACTATGATGGTTATTAAGTTTTCTGCTTTAGTCGTTACTGTTTCCCCTTTCAGAGAAAGTGCAGGCAGAGATAGACAGAGTGGTCGGACAGTCTCGCCTGCCAACCTTGGCCGACAGACCCAACCTACCCTACACTGATGCTGTTATCCACGAGACCCAAAGGTTTGGAAATATTGTTCCATTGGGATTCCCAAAAATGGCCAATAAAGATTCTACACTGGGAGGATACTTCATTCCTAAGGTAAGGGATTATTTACCAGACTGAGCCAGAAATTAACATTCATTTCATATGTCTTTCAATTATTTATAAATAGCTAATACCAACATCTGATAACACTATTTCAGGGCACAGCTGTTACTACAATACTTTCATCTGTGCTGTTTGATAAGAATGAGTGGGAGACTCCAGATGTCTTCAATCCTGAACATTTCTTGGACTCAGAGGGCAAATTTCGAAGAAGAGATGCCTTCTTGCCATTTT